CATAGCCTCATAAGAATTCAATTTCTGATGCGAGGCAACAGATACTGCTGTATTATTGAACTTACGCAAATAACCATTCTGCCACAAAATAAGAATGCTCACAAATATTTCCAATTATAAAGGGGTCAGGAAGGGAGAAAAGTTTATGTTTCAATTAAAAAAACACTTTTTTAAACAAATTGCTGAACCCAACAACTCAAAAGAAAACAAATGTCCTTAAACCTGGAAGACAAAGCAAAGAAGAAAATCAGTAATGTTTCAGAAAAAAGTCATAGAATTCTATTTCACCAGTTCAGTCCCGTCCTTACTTAGTATGATTGACTGCCCTCTTTAATACCCATAGCACAGGTCTGTGAGGCTAGGATAGTGAGACCATTACTAAAAAGTACACAGATCACATATATGAATAAACGAACATTCTAGATTATTGTATCACAGTGTTTGGGATGCCTGATGGAACATGTCTGTCCCAAGTAGTTCTGTGCTCACAAATTTGGGAATCACATGGTAAAACAAAATGAGAATGGTGTTTGGTTTTCTTTGCACTACAGAGACATACTATGCAGATGTTTCTCATAAAACTCCCAAGAAGTGGGGCCAGTAGGTGGCATGGTGGTTAAGGTGCTGGACACTCCCACATGGTCAACCACAGTTCGAGTCCTGGATCTGGTGGCTTACTTTCTCACTTTCCCTCTCTCTCTCTCTCTTTCTCTCTCTCTCTGGTCAAGTTAAAGTAAATGAATGAATAAATAAATAATTAAAAATAATAATTCTTTAAAAAATAATATATTAAAAAACTCCAAGAACAGCTAAAATTTTTTGCTATGTTAAGTAAATGTTTGTGGAAAAATGTAAAAATAAATAAAAACAAAAACAAAAACAAACTCCAAGAGCTAGTTGTGGAATTCAGCACTTCCCATTATTTAACCGTAGAATTCCTTTTCTTCCCGCCCTGTGGAGACCATGTGTAGAATACATGCTGAGAAATGTTTGTGTAGTTAATTTTCCTAACAGACTGAGCTGCTCTTGGGGCTTACATGGTTCGAGCTGTTGATGTGAGGGGTTTGGACAGAAAGATGGTGCCTAGAGTGGTTCTGCCTTTTAGTTCTTTATGTTCTTATTCCTCAGCTTTCTGTTGTGGGTTTTCTTTCTTTTTCCCAAATCTCTTAGGACTTGTTCAATCATGTAGTCACAGGGGCAGCAGACGACTTAGGAAGCTAGAAGTGGTGTGACCTTAGAGTGCTTCTCTGTGCTCATCTCTGCTCCTGACTCTCTTGGCAGGCCCTGACAGATTACCGGGCAGAGCTCCGGGAGGACCCCATCATCAGCACACATTTGGCCAAGCTGTACGATAACTTACTGGAACAGAATCTAATCCGAGTCATTGAGCCCTTTTCCCGAGTCCAGGTAAGAACCCTCCAGCTGTCACTGTGTAGCCCTTCTCATTGTAGCCACCTCCTTCCTGCCACACCTGTCCCAGATAACATTTGTTTCCAAGGGTGTGTCTGGTGGGCAAGAGGCCACGGTGCTAGGGCTTCTCTTGATAGGCAGTAAGAATTGAGAGGGGGTGCTATGGGGAGAGGCCTGTGTCCAGGGGCAGGCTTCCCCTGACTTCGTATTCACTGCACAGGTGGTAGATGGTTTCTGAATTGGGAGTATGTTTGTTGTCCATAGTGCTGACAGAGTGCAGAGAACTAAGCACAGCCAAAGAGAATCTTGCCCCCCTTCTCGTGTTGGAGGCAAAATAAAACTTTCACTGTTGGTTGTCTCTTTGCCTTTCCTTTTAGATTGAACACATATCTAGTCTCATCAAACTCTCCAAGGTAAGGAATCCTGAGGTCAACTAGGGGTGGGGATGTCGAAAGGGCAGTGGGAGGAGGGTCTTTAGCACTTGGTGTGGAATGCTCCAGGTGTTTCAGCGGAAATAGACAGGGGCCTCAGAGCTAGAGTTGCATTGTTGCTGTTTTATTTTCTATCCATTTGCCCTAAGATCCTTTTCCTTTTTTTTTTTTTAAGAGGTTTTGGCCTTAGAGTGTGTGTGCTTGTTGGAAAGAGAGAAACAGACAGTGAGAGGGATAAGTGAGAAATCACCTGTCGGAGGGATGGCCATGTTGCAATCTCTTCTCCTCCCAGGATCTTGGGCACGCATGCACATGCACCTGGCATGATTTTCAAGCCACCAGGTCCAGGGCTTAGAACCGTGATGTGGGAGTCCGGCAGCGTAACTGCCACACCATCTGTTGGTCCCCTTAAAACCCTTTCTACAAAGCCTTCATGTCAGGGTGATCTCTGACTAGTGGGTACTAGTCCCTTTAATCATGTGCTTTGGTTTTAGGCCGATGTGGAAAGGAAGTTATCACAGATGATTCTTGACAAGAAGTTTCATGGTGAGTAAGCAGTCACACAGGCAGGGGGCTGGGGGTGGCGGTGAGATGGTTGAAGAGGTTTATCCTTGAAGATGTTCTGTTTGTTTCTCTGGTAGTTCTCTGGGAGCCTGGCCCCTACCCCCATGATGAGTAATAAACATGTGCAAGTGGGACAGGGGATGCGTTTTATTTCTCTTCTTCCTAGAGCAAGCAAGGCAGCTAGGGAGTGGGCTGCTTCACAGATGCTTTTGTGTCTAATCTCTTTTTTATCTGGGTTGCCCTTGTGTTTCCTGCAGGGATTTTGGACCAGGGGGAGGGTGTCCTGATTATTTTCGATGAACCCCCAGTAGATAAAACTTACGAAGCTGCTCTGGAAACAATTCAGAACATGAGTAAAGTAGTGGATTCCCTCTACAACAAAGCCAAGAAACTGACATAGGTGAGTGCTGGCTCTAGGACCCAGGGCCAGGCAGCGCTGCCTTCTGCCTGATGAGACTGAAAACCTCCTCCTGGTATCCTCCAGGCTTCCTGATTGACACTGCTCTGTCTTCTCTTGCAGAGTTGGATCTGTAGCGGTCCTTTGGAGAGTGTGTGTGGCGGGAGAGTGAAACCTTGGGGGAAAATTCTAGGAGATTCTTTTTTCTTTTTTGTTCTACTTTTCGCTCGGAAAGTTTTTAAATCCTCATTTGGTGCATCTGTATTCCAGCCGATAGGTGTGCCAGTTTTCATGTAATCTTTACTGGCCCAACTCGGGAGTGGGGAAATTGCTTAAAAAAAAAGAAAAAGAAAAAAAAAAGATTCTAAATAAAAGGAAAAGGCTTACACTACCTAAAGCTGTGCTCTGCCTCCTGGGGGAGGGCCGCAAAGCCAGGCCCCTGCTGGCCACTGGGGTCCTAACCCACCTGCTGGGGTCACCTCTCCCCCTCTTCACAATTGGGTGTTTGCTGACCAGCAAAGGCAACGACTTTTTATTCTGTTTGTACTGAACCAAAACAAACAACTGTGTATAGACTGCTGTTTTCTTTTTTATTTGAAATGAGGCGTTTCGGTGTTCTTTCCCTGCCGTATGGCCTGATGGCCATCCCTCTCCCAACATTGGCTCCAGCGGACTGGCCGCAGGTCCCGTCGCCGCCGCCACCACCGCCGCACCAGCAGCAGCACCTGCACGGCTCGCTCTGACCTGTGAAGGAATGGGGACAAGGCCGGGAGCTAGCGTCCACCACAGCCACACGGGGAGCAGTGTGGGCCCTTAGCCCCCAGGGGGCCTGCTGTGCATGTGGCTTTTTAAACACAAGTAAACTAGATTAGACGTCAGTGTTTTAATTGCCCTCTCCTCTCTTCTCTTCTGCGCTGCTCTGCTCTTCTCTATCTCCCTTCTCTTCCCTTTTTCAACCAGGAGACCATCACACGCCTCTCCCTTCCTCCTCCTCCCCCGCTGAGGAGTTGGACTGTCTGAAATTCATCAGCTTCTCCCTTTCCCACTCCTCCTCTCCTGCTGTCAGATGGATTTATTCCTTTTTTAAACAGTGAACATCGGAAATGAGACTGTGGGGTGTTTTTTGTTTTGTTTTTAATTTTCCTTGTTGGGTTTTGGAGCAACCTTATGTCCCCTTCCCAGGGAGCTTCTTTATTGACTTCCTAGAACGCGAATGGATGGGAGGTAGAGCACTGTATGTCGGCATGCTTTGTTTTCTGATGCGATTACATAGCAAGGCTTTAATGCCATCTGGGCAGGTAAGCTTCTGCACCTTCGTTGTGCTTAACTGTATTTTCTTCTTTCACCTCTTCTTTGTCTTCTTTTTCTCTCCCCCTCCTGCCTCCTCCTTGCTGGCCTCCGTTTTTCTTTCTTTACCTTTCTCAGATTATCCTTCCAGGTTTTCGTAATAAAATTTATATTTTGTAAAAGGATTTTGTTGTACCAGGTTTTGCATCTTCACTGAATCTGACTGGCTTTTATTTTCCTCTCCAAAATCAGGTTTTTGTTTTCAACATCTCTCCCCATCATGTCCAGTCACTGTTTTGGTTTTGGCACCATCAATATCAAATGTACAAACGGTTCTTGCTAACCAACACCAGGTATATCTGATGTTCAGATAAGTTCCAATAAAAATAATTTTTTTTTTCAAAAAGTGTCTGTTCTTGAGTGATGGTGGGCTTGTGAGCAAGTCCAGACAGCTCTGTGTTGCCTACCCTCTAGCGTGGCCAAAGGTGTTACTCACTTAGCCAAATTTGGGGTCCAATTAGGAGTGCTATAGGCAAGAAAATTGGTCTGTGAAATTTAAAGTAAGAAGTGGAGTTCAGGTGTCTTTTTTCCAAGAGCCTCTTTCCTCAACTACTTTCCTCAGCAGGTGACAGTGATGTGAGGGTCCAGTGAAGTCTAGTTGCCCTTCTGTATCTATGGGTTCCTTATCTGTGGATTTAAAAATGTGGGGACCAGCAGTTAGCGCAATGGCTATGTTGCTGGACTCCCACATAGTCGACTGCGGTTTGCGTCCTGGACCCATTGGCTTAAAACTCACGCCGGGTGCGTGTGTGTGCGTCCCCAAGATCCCGAGAAGAGAATGGAGGAGAAGGGATTGCAGCGTGACCATCCCCTCTGGGGGGTGATTTCTCGCTTTCTGTCTCTATGTCTCTCTCTGTCTGTCTGGCGAGTGCACGCGCCCTATGGCGAAAACCTCTCAAAAAAAAAAATGTATTGGTTGCACATGGTGTGAACATATATAGACTTTTGCCCTGGTCATTCCCAAAATAATCAGTTTAACAACTATTTATTTAGTGTTTGTATTGAATTGGGTATTAAAAAAAAATCTAGAGGTGATTTAAAGTATATGGGAGGATGTGTGGAGGTTATATACAAATAACACACCATTTTATATAGGGTACTGGAGCACCGTAGATTTTGGTATCCATGGGGGTCCTGGGTCTGACTCCCTTCAGATACCAAGGGACACCTGTAATGGAACTGCAAGTACCTGGAGGGTCCTGATCACTAGTGGTTTGGTTTCCTTTAGAATTTTCAGATGTGATTTTCATACTTCCCTCAGACCCCAGGAATGGTTCTTCTGAGGGGGCTCTGGAGTCACTGGAGGGCCTGCCAACTCCTCCTCAGTCTGAGCAACTCAGCCATTATTTTAGTATTGTATCTGTATTTTACCTGCAAAAAAAGAGTGTTGCTTCCATGAAGAACTTCTACCAGCAGAGGGGAGTGGATTTCCCAAGGAGCTCAGGGCCTCGGCCCTTCTCTTTGCTTCCTTTGTGGATGCTAGTCCAATGACTTCTAGACTCGCACTGTCCAACATGTAGCCACCAGCTCTTGGTGGCTGTTGAGCCCTTGCAGTGTCGCTGGTTTGAACTCTGATGCACTGCGAGTAAACACAAAGCAGACTTTGAAGGCTAAATAATAAAAAAAAAAAAAAAAAAAAAAGAATGCGGGGCTACCCTGTAGCACGGTGGTTAAGTGCTGTGCATTGGAACTGGATCCCATGTGGCTGACCGCAGTATGAATTCTGGCCCTGGCAGCTTGAAAAATTAAAGTTGCATGTGGGTGAGTGCTCAGAATCCTGATGGGAAGGAAAACAGAGGAAAAATGATTGTAGTATAACCATGCCCCGTTGGGGGATGCTTCTCTCTGGTGACTGCATGCATTCTCTGGAAATTAAAAATGTAAAATGTTGACGTACGTGTGTGTGTATATATGTATGTTTATACATGTATATATACATGTTTACACGTATATACATGTATGTGAATATATTGGACTATTTTGGATATATTTTGGGTTAAATAAAAATGTATTAAAATTCACCTTTTTACTTTTTTAATATGGCTACTAGGAAGTATTAAATTTTCTCCATGCAGCTCATTCATATCTGTGGCTCACACTGTACTTCTCTTGGACAGTGTTGCTCTAGATCTCTAGGATTTGGCAGTTGGGCCACTGCTTCTTCACCAGGCCTCTTACGAATTGAGCCTTGGCGTGGCTGAGAGGGCACTCACCTAGGTTCCTTCCTGATCCCCAGCCTTCATGGTGCCAGGACTTTCTTGGAGGTGTGGGAGCAGAGACAGACTGCTGGCTCTGCTGGCCTGCTGTGTACTGGTTATGTAATCTGTGCTGCCCAGAAGGGCCACTAGATGCTGCTCTGTGATCCCTGAAAGAACAAAGCAGATTAGCCAGGAATGAGGGCTCACCCGGCTGTCTCTGGACTCCTTTCCGGGAGCTATAGTCGGTCATGGCCTTGGCCTCCCGTCCTCGGGGTGGTGCTGGAAATGGGGCATGCAGAGGAGGGGACTCTGGTGGTACATGGGCATCACAGCTCACCCGGGCAACTGACCAGCAGGCCGACCCTTCAGGCAGCTAGAGATAGGCGACAGGCTCAGTAGGCTGGCTGATGGGGGTGGGACTTGGAGATCTTCCCTGCCATTCTCTGACGAATCCGAATCTGACTGAGAAGGAAACAGCCCTGCATCTTTCAGCTGGATCCGCCTTCTGGCAGATAATTGCCCTTTTTCCTTCCAGTTGTAGTGATGGGAGGCGGTGGATTGAGCGAGCAGAGGAGCTGCTGGTGCCTTGAAGCCCCGCCTGGGTGGGTAGGGGTTCCTGACAGCACCCTCGCTCAGCCACAGCCGCAGGTGGGCTGGCAGATCACTCATTACTGCTCTGCTGCAGA